ATTTGTTAGTATATATATATATATATATATATATATATATCAAAGTCTTCCCAATGCCTATAGGCGCAAATGAACAGTGATTTTGTCTACCCTTATCACCGTCCAAAGTTCATCACACGGTCACAATTGTCCGGTAGTATTTCATTTTTCATTTTATTTCTACAAATTGGAATGATTTGAAATGTGGAGCATGCGTACATCTTAGTCAGCCGTACCTAATAGAAATATAAAAATAATAATTCATGAAAATAAATTGACCAAAATATCTCCAAAACACATAAATATTGTTTTGATATTTTTCGTAGATTCACCTATTTTTTATGAACATACCCTTTATTTCAGGTCATTCCGATTTGTAAAAAAAAAATGAAAAATGAAACACTATTGGACAATCGCAACAGTACGATGAACTTTTGATTGAATTGAGGGTAGGAAAAATCACTGTTCATTTTCGCCTATAAGCATTTTGTAATATATATATATATATATATATAGAGGATTCTGTCAGCTCACGGGCTAACTGCTATAGTGTTAGCAAATGACCCAGAATCTATCTAGGCAGATCTGATGGTAATTAACAAGCTAGATCCACCGTGTACTATAGAGAAGCCAGATCCACCCCGTCCTATAGAACGACCACGAGATTTTGACATTAAAATCTATCTCCCAAAATTTCATGGTCAAGCGGGTTCATCGGTTGAACTTGGTGTTTTTTTGAAGTTAGACTGATTCCTGGTTAGGACTAATTAGCTCAAGCTCGTATTCAACAATTACTCTTGGAACACAATTGCAGGTATCAGTCTCGAAGAAAAAGTATCGAGACTCATGATGGGGCTTCATCACCAACTTTTGAGATCGAGGTCGAGCTTCTCCCAACCAGGGGAGAATGATGCAAATAACATTAGGGTTATTTAAATTTTTTTATTATTCTTTAGTTTATCTCTTCAGGAATAGGAGAGGAGGTACGTAAGGATATTTGAGGGCATTGAGTATGTGTGTGAGTTGATATTTATAGATTTGGGTTAATTAGTTATTGATTGATTTGGGATACTTAGTTTGGAATATAAATAGATAAAGTTAAAATTAAGGGAGCTAGTTTAGGAATGTAAAAGGATAAAGGGAAGAGAGAGAAAATAGGGAAGAAAAAATAAAATAGAAAAGTGTAGAGAGAGTTTTTTTTGTTAATGTTTATCTTATTTTTTAATCTATTTAAAGGGAGATTTCCCTTCATCTTAAAAAAAGAGGTGGATGAGTTAATAAAATTTGGTGAGATTTTTGGGGTGGATTCCTTGCAGACTTTGAGAGAGGGTATATTATCGCAACCTTGGGGGGGATGCCATTGCAGACATTGAGATAATGTATATTTTCTCAACCTTTTCTTTTTATTTTTTTGGTGTTATTATTTTTTTGCATCAATTTTACATCATACACCTACTTCTATAATATAAAGTTTTTTTTGGGTAATTCTTCTTTAATATAAAATTGACACCTTATATAGAAAATGTGAATTCCATCTATTTTGGTGGAATTAAGATTTATAGCTTTCTGGCTACAAATGTGGAAATGTGAAATCCGGGGGAACGTATATGCCTATGTCAAACAGCATCCAAACATTATTTTGGGATGGTTGTCCTGGAAATGGGACTCTCCATAATCGAAATCGAGGGAACCAAATGCGCCCCAAGGGAAAATAACTATCTAGGCATCAAAATATAACCAAGAAATCCAGAGAGAGAGAGAGAGATGAAGAACCACTTGAACCATAATTCACTGGCTCAAAGATTCAAATCCCTCCAATCAACACCAGAAATTAATTCAAGCCTTAAAGACCACAATTCGAATATTAAAATAAGAAATACTTAATTTACCCAAAAGAAAAAAAATAAATACTTAAGAAAAAAAAGAAAACTTATAATTAAAAAATATAAATGTTAGACATTACACCAGACTAGCAAAAACATCTTTCAAAATAATTCGAAAATATAAAAATTCCAGCTATGTTTCTTCTACAACATTGCTGGAACATGTAATGGATTAACCGTTATACACTTAATCTGACAGGTCCGTAATATGAAATTCAACCCTATGCACGTGTAATGGATTTCATATTTTTGGGGGTAATTTTATGTAATGTGTTTCCATTTCCTATTTGCTATATGCATTACCCAAACATAAAAAATGACGCATTTTTTTGTAATTTATTTCCCTATAATGAAAATATAAGTATATCAACATGGTAATGCGCACTTCCAAACTTAGTCATAAGATATAATTGTAGCATTGAAAATTTTTAGGATGACCTAAGTATCGATTTTTATCTATAATTATAAATTTTAAACCCAAAAAATGGTTCAAAATCAAGCAGATCTATAAATAAATATAAACCTTCAAGTACTTAATTTTTTTTTCCCTCCCCAAATTTATGCACCTCGACATCGAGATGACCCATTAGATAACTTCCAAAATCAAAATAGCTTTTTTTAATAGATTTTTATATGCACCTTAATTTAAAATATAAAGCATCAACCTTACATAAACTTTTTACACATATTTATTGAGGGGGAGAGAGAAAGTATTCAAAAGAAGAAAGAGAGAAAGGAGGACGAGAAGGAGGAAACCATCCGGTGGGGGGCCACGGGGGAGGAAGAGCTGTGCCCACAGCTAAAAGGTCAACTATTCTCAATAATTGAAGTCATAAATTAGTGGGAGTGGTTCCATCAATTTAAGTATGAGAAACTATGGAGGGACCCATATTTAAAGAAAAGGGTGCGGTTTTTATAAGGTTGCAAGCAAGCTTAACCAATCCAATTAAGGTGCATCTTAAAATTTATTTTCATACTGAATTAGAAAATTTTAAATTTTAAAAATATTAAAATCAAGTAGATCTATAAATATAAATATGAAAATCTTGAAAATGGACGGTCTATATAATGTGTTACAAGATGCACTATTTCTGATATTCAAAATTTTTTTTTTTTCATATTCATAGATCTCGATGTCGAGATGATTGATTAGAAAGATTTTTCAACATTAAAACAACATTTTTGATAGATTTTTTAGGTGGAGTGATTCTACATTTTAAAGTTACAACCACATATAAACTTTTCTCCTAAGAAAATGAATATAAGATTGCCCACCATATGTGTCCATTTTAAAATTTGGTGGGGCCCATCAATCTACCGTATGCCTATCTGTAACTGTGTTAGTTCTGTGTGGCCTGACGCATGACATGCTTTTCCATTTTCTAAATGACTAGCGAACGTGGTCACAAAGGTAGAAAAGGCTGGGGATATATATATATATATATACATATATATATATATATATATTTTGGTGCAGTTTGTATAGAGTCGAGGTTCTAAACAATCAAATTAGAGCCCACCTTCAAACAATGTCGAAAAAATGTGGTTCAATACTTGAAATCTTTGATTATCCTTAAACAGTATTTTCATATTTAGTTACAAAATTTAAAGCTTAAAAAATAGTGTAGATCGACCTAATCTATGAAAACTTGAATAACTTAAAAATTGAAAGCCCAAAAATGCTTTACAAGATGTACTATTTTCAAAACTTGAAACCCATTTTTTTCTCAAGTTCACACATCTTGATGTCTAGATGATCAATT